TAAGAGGTTCTTTAATTCCTCCTCACTTTCTGCCATCAGGGTGGTATCATCTGCGTATCTGAAGCTGTTGATATTTCTTCCGGCAATCTTAATTCCGGCTTGGGATATATAGGCTAAACCCCTTCAATTCATTGGGAAAAAGCCTCTTGCTCAGCCTAGTAGACTGCAGTAGAGGAGGCCACTGAATCAGTGGTGATTTGGTGAGCCAACTTCACATATGTTCCTCTGATTCAAAATATTCAAAGTTGTAACTAGAGTAGGTCCATTCAAATCAACGGAACTTATAGGGGAGTTTGCTCACCAAATCACCACTGATTCAGTGGGCTTAATCTAGTGCAACCTACTGCAGTAAGCAACAGGATTTCAGCTGTTGTGTAAGTATGGGAAGATGCATTGGTTGAATTTAAGTATGTGTTGTTTTTGCTTTGCTTTCACCATTATCCTGAAAGTTCATAATGTTCAGACAACACATCTACATTCAACACAATGTTTCTTAGGTAACTAGTTTAGCAGGTACAGAACATTTTGCTTCTGCTACCGCAACAGCTTTTACTATTTTTAGGAACTACAGCTCTCCAGTATGCCTATCCTGACTCATTATAATCTCTGAATCCATTTATTATGTGGCCAAACTCCCTAAAAAAATTAAGAACAAAAATCAAGAAGATATTTCATGTAGAAGCACAGGGGACTCTAAAACTACATGTCTAGAGACTGAAAAATCCTTCAGAGCAGATTTTCAGAAAATTCCATTGTGCTGATGGATTCATGGTAGCAAAGTATTCGATTTAATTCTAAATGAATACATCACTTCCAAGAACATTTTTAAAACCCTCTCAGTTTTGATTTCACCGTGTCTCTTAAAATCCTACCTACATCTTCATCTCATCCTTTGTATTACAAGACTGCATATTTTCCATATACATTTTACCTAATCTATATTCATGTCTATATTTCTACCTATTCACTAAAGCATAACAGTGCATCTTTTTCAATTGTGTACACTTTTAGCTGTTCACAATTTTAAATGTACTGATTTTTTTGTACAGATTTTATTTTTTGAAATAAACCTAAATATGTACAGATTTTAAGACAAGATGCACTTGGAGTGTTCAAAAAAGAGAAATGAGTATCTTTGCCAATAATCCTTTCTACAGCATTTTTAAAATTCCTAATAATATGGTAACCAGTGCGGTGTAATGGATAGAGTGATAAACTAGGGCTCAGGAGACCTGGGTTCAAATCCTCACTCAGCCATGGAAACTCATTGGCACTGGTAAAACTACTACTTTATTATCACACTTATCTTGAAAGGCCTATTAGGGTTGCTATAAGTCAGTTCCGACTTGATAGCACATAACAACAATATAATTGCATGTGTTGTTTTTGCTTGGCTTTCACCATATCTTGAAAGTCCCTAATGTTCAGACAGCATCTTAAAATGCATAGACATCACCTTGCCAACAAAGTTCCGCAGAGTCAAAGCTATGGTTTTTCCAGTAGTGAGAAATGTAAGTGAGAGCTGGATCATACAACAAAGAATGAGATGGTTGGACAGTGTCATCGAAGATACCAACATGAATTTGACCCAACTCTGGGAGGCAGTGGAAGACAGGAGGGCCTGGCATGCTCTGGTCCATGGAGTCACAAAGAGTAAGACACTATTTAAGGACTAAACAACAAAATGTTCAGACAACACATCTACTTTCAATACATTGTTTCTTAGGTAACTAGTTTAGAAGGTACAGAACATTTCTTAGATAACTAGTTTAGCAGGTACAGTACTATGTACCCACACAACAAACAAACAAACACAGCTGGATAAGGAGGTTCTATACAGTGGTGCCTCGCTTGATGACGTTAATCTGTTCCAGCGAAATCGCTATAGAACGAAACCATTGTCAAGCAAAAGTAAAAAGCCCATTGAAACACATTGAAAACTGTTCCAATGGGCGAAATACCTCAGCATTCAGCAAAGATCCTCCATAGGGCGGCCATTTTCTGGTGCCTGTAATGTGAGGAATCCATCATAAGCATAGCAGGGAGCCATTTTTAACAGCGGGCGGCCATTTTGAAACCCAACGATCAGCTGTTTTCTGATAGTTGTAAAGCGAAAAATCGGTTCCCGAAGCAGGGAACCGATCATCATGAAACGAAAAAACCCCATTCAATCATCGTTTTGCAACCACGATAGTGATTGCAAAAAACACATCGTGAAGCAATTTCATCGTTAAATGAGGTAATCGTTAAGCGGGGCACCACTGTATATATTTAAACTATGTTCATTTACGAGCAACCCAGACAACTTTTAAGTTAGATTAGCTGGGTTGTGAGTTGGGGGCACCGTTTTCCAGTGGTTCCGCTTCTTTCCGGCTGACCGTGTCCAGAAGGTGGTGTTGGGGGGAAATATGGCAGTTATGCCATGGGGTTCCTCAGGGCTCAATATTGTCCCCCATGCTGTTCAACATCTACATGAAACCGTTGAGAGAGGTCATCAGGAGGTTTGGGATGAGGAGTCAGCAATATGCTGATGACACTCAGCTCTACCCCTTTTTCCACCAATCCAGATAAGGCAGTCTCTAAACTGAACTCATGTCTGGACCTGATACAGTGGTGCCTCACTTAACGATGTTAATTGGTTCCAAAAAAGCATCGCTATGGGAAAACATCGTTAAGCGAAACGCGTTTCCCCATAGAGCTGCACTGAAAACTGGTTAATCCCATAGGAAAGCGATACAATGTTTCCTCCATTGGAATGCATTTAAGCCTATTCAATGCATTTCAATGGTTTTGCGATGTCCATTTTTACAAATGTAAGTGTGTCTTAAAATGTTCAAAAACTGTTTTAAATGCTTGGAATCGTTAGTGCACTTTCTAAAACGGGTGCAAACTTAATTTAGCTTTGATCTGACTTTTCGTTAATTTTTGCTGAATTTTTCCCCCCACCAACTTTTGACAGCTGTCAAAATGTGACAGCTCCATGCTTTCCTATGAGGGAGAAAAAAATTCACACAAAATTAACGAAAAGTCAGCAACTGTTTTAAATGCTTGGGTTCGTTAGAGCACCTTCTAAATCATGTGCAAACTTAGTTTGGCTTTGGTCTGAGTCTTCGTTAATTTTTTGTGAATTTTTTTATCCTCCATAGGAAACAATGGAGCCCAACTTTTGACAGCTCCATTGTTTCCTATGGGGGAGAAAAGAAATTCACAAAAAAGTAACGAAGACTCGGAACAAAGCCAAACTATGTTTGCACATGATTTAGAAGGTGCTCTAACGAACCCAAGCATTTAAAACAGTTGCTGACTTTTTGTTAATTTTTGGTGAATTTTTTCCTCCCCCATTGAAATGCACTGACCCCAACTTTTGACAGCTGTCAAAAGTTGGTCTCAATGCTTTCTTATGGGGGAGAAGAAAATTCACCAAAAATTAACGAAAAGTCAGATCAAAGCCAAATTAAGTTTGCACATGTTTTAGAAGGTGCACTAACGATTCCAAGCATTTAAAACATTTTTGAACATTTTAAGACACTTTTAAAATTGAAAAAAGGACATCGTTAAGTGAAACAGGGGACTTAAAAATGCATTCGCTATGCGAAGCATGGTCCCGAAATCGCTAAGCGAAAATCGCCCATAGGAAACATCATTAAATGATGCATATAATTCTTTTTAAAAAACCATCATTAAGCAAAAACATTGCTAAACGAGGCAATGGTTAAGTGAGGCACCACTGTAATGGGCCAGATGAGGGTTAATAAAGCGAAGCTTAATCCCCACAAGATGAAGTGCTGTTAATGGGTAGTTCGTCGGACAGGTTAAAGGGGCATTTCCCTGCCCTGAATGGGGTTGTACTCTCTCTGAGGGATAGGGTCCACAATCTGGGGGTGCTCCTGGACCCCAGTCTGCCCTGGAGGCCCAGGTAGGCTCGGTGGCCAGGGGTGCCTTCCTGCAACTGTGGAAACTGTTCCAGCTGTGGCCCCACCTGGACATACGGAGCCTCATGACAGTCACACATGCACTGGTAACAACCCGTTTAGATTACTGCAATATGCTTTACGTGGGGCTGCCTTTGAAGACGATCCGGCAACTACAACCGGTTCAGAATCGAGCTGCATGTGTGGTGAGTGGAGGAGCCATGAGAGACTATATTCAGCTGATTCTGGCCAGGTTACAATGGCTACCAGTTATTGCCCGGGCCCAATTCAAAGTGCTTGTTTTGACATATAAAGCCCTAAGTGGCTTGGACCCCAGATACCTGAAGGACCGCCTCTTTCCATACGAACCTACCCAGCAACAACCTACCCAGCAATTGAGAAGGGCCAGAAGGCCCTCCTGAAAGAGCCGTCCTTCAGTGAGGTGAGAGGGAGGGCCTGTAGTCAGAGGGCCCTTTTGGCAGCTGCCCCTGGTCTTTGGAATACCCTCCCAAATGACATCTGACTGCTGCCGACGTTACTGACATTAAAACCTTCTTTTTCCGGACGTTTTTTAATTGAAGGTTTTAATTTTAATTAATAGAGTCATGGTTCTAGATTGTTTTTGTAGATTATTTTTGTTTTTTATTTTTGCTTTAGTAGAGTAGATGTAACAGTACTGGTTTTTAGTGTCTGTTTTTAACTGACACTTTAAAAAGGGACATGGTGACGCTGCGGGTTAAACCACAGAAGCCTCTGTGCTGCAAGGTCAGAAGACAAGCAGTTGTAAGATCGAATCCACAAGACGGAGTGAGCTCCTGTTGCTTGTCCCAGCTCCTGCCAAACTAGCAGTTCGAAAGCATATAAAAATGTAAGTAGATAAATAGGTATCACCTCAGTGGGAAGGTAATGGCGTTCCGTGTCTAGTCACGCTGGCCACGTGACCACGGAAACTATCTTCGGACAAACGCTGTCATGACCATGGAAGTAATAATAATAAAAATCCAAGAAATACTACCATATGCCCATCACTCACCAAAAGCAAACAATTATTTCTTAAACATTTAATCATGTTCATTTGCAATTGCTTACCTGGTTCTCTTCATGAGAAACCCTCATTTGCTCTTTCAGGACAGACATTCTGGCTGCTTCTTCTTTCCTCAAAACTCTTTCCTTTTTTAGCTCAGGACTCCAAAAGGTTTTGATGCTATTCATGGAAGAGCCGAGCTTACTGTCCTTGATGTCCAGTTCTTTCCTGAGAAGTTCATTCTCTCTTTGTAACTCCTTAAGCTGAGCTTGTAGATCTAGCATGGTGCTGTCTCTTACCTGTCTCAGCATAGAAGGGATCTGATGATGATGATGATGTGAAGCAGTGGTCAGTCCTCCATGCTGATCAGTATAGGAAAGGAGATCTGAATGGGAAAGGCCAGCAGAAGCAATATTGGGACTGCTTCCCATAGCTGTAACACGACCACCATATACAGCTCGATTTGTAGCCCTTCCAAGAGTCATTGTGCCCTTTGGGAAAGTTGTGGATGCCACACCTTCATGATCACTCAGATACATTGGTCCAGATGTTGCATAGGCGGCATTAAGTGACTGGATATTCTCCATAGATAATGTCTTACCTGTTCCTCCACCTCCTCCACTACTTGTTCTCCTATGGCCCAGACGAGGAGATCTTGGCAAACGAGGAGATCTGGCAGGACTCCCTTCCAGGTTACTGATTGTTCTTGCACTTCCATACATTTTTATTATGATGTGAGGTACTACTTATTATGAAATTAATCACACTTAAGTGGATATTTAACCTCTATTTCAAATTGCTACTGTAGGCAAATAGTTTCACAGCATTCTTCCAGAAGGCAGCCTGTTCTTTGAAATTACCTCTCCAAGCTGAAGATCTGGAAATAAAAGTATAACTGAAGGTTAGAAAAATATCATTATAGTGACACAAGTTGTGTTATTTTACGAACCTTTAGTTGCCCAGAACCTACATTTGGGATCAAGTCTTTAGAAGAGGGACCATGGATGGCATTTCTAATTTTCAGTGAAAATAAAACAACTTACAATTTGAACACAACATTAAAGAAGAAGGATTCCTACTTCGATAGAACATCTACCAGGTAACTCTGGCTAAAATCCTCTTGGTGGAGCTGCACATCTATAAATAGTGATGATGTCATCAACTACAGACCTCAATTTTTAACTTAAAGTTTCCTACTCTCAATCACCAGGTTCTGAGCTTCCCTAGGGTTCCCCTCATCCATTCCAAAAACTTACCATCTTTTCAACCTGGGGAAGCCTTTGGGGTGGACATGAGGGAACTCTTTAGTAGCAGAAAATCACAATCACCAGGATTTGGATTAGCAGTGCCAATTTTCAGATACTGAAGACTTCCCCAAGTTGAAAGAAACCACAAGGGAACTTTGAAACTTGTGGAAGGCGATAGGAAACTTTAAATTAAAGATTAAAGTCTGAAGCTGATGGTATTATGAAAATTTATAACTGAGTTGTGCAACAACATTTCAGCCACTGTGTTTCAAAAATAGAAGGCAGAAGAAGAAACAAAGAATGTCTACAGACTGCACTGTACTTAAAAAGAAACACTCTGCTGATACATATACAGTGGTACCTCGATTTGAGAACGTCCCTACATAAGAACGATTCGAGTTAAGAACGGCTCCATTTGCAAAAAGTTGCTTTGACTTGAGAATGGAGCCTTGACTTAAAAACCAAAAAAGAGAAAAAACCCTCCTTTCCTGCCCTTTTTTTTTTACGTAAGTTCACCTTAAGACAAAAGAAGAAGAAAATTAAAAAAATCTCCCCCTAGTGGGAGATATGGATTAACTGGCTTTGCATTAGTTCCTATGAGAACTAATGCTTCAATTTAAGAACAGTGCCTCGACTTAAGAACGAAAAACAGCAGGTACAGATTAAATGGTTTTCAATGCATTCCTATGGGAAATAGTACTTCAACTTAAGAACGTTTCGACTTAAGAATGCAGCCCCAATACAGATTAAGTTCTTAGTCGAGGTACCACTGTATGCCTTAGGAAAAACATTGTTATACTATTTTATCCTTTGCATCTGATACTGGAGGAGAACAAGTATCAAACTAACACAGATTTAGTTTCACTTTTTTTTTCAGTGCACAAGGATAATCTTGTGATCAAAAATCATGATAGGTTACTATTTGTCTCCCATCAGCTATTAATAATAAGAGCAGTTCTGAGAAAAGAGGACAACTGCTCATTCGTCACTTATTTATTTAAAATATTTTTGCCCCACCTTTCTCCATAAAAAACCCAAGAAGGCAGGCATCATTTTAAAAAAAAGCTAAAAACAGTAAATTATTCAAATTAAAAAGAACAATAACAATATATTTAAAATGTTAAGTAAACACATTACCAAAAAACAAATTTAAAAGCAACAAAATACAAATCATCCTGTTTTAAAATCTTTCCTAGATAGTCAATCACTAAGGAAAAGTCTGCCCTCAGAAGGACAGCAAAAATGAGACCTTCCTTGCCTCCCATGGGAGAGGGCTCGAGTCTGGAAGCAGCAACAAAGAAGACCCTATCCCATGCCCCCACCAAGTGTACCTGTTAGGTTGGTGGGACTAAGAGAAAGATCTCCTGTGATGATCTTAATACCTGTGCAGGCCCATAAAGGGAGATACTGTTTTTTGAGATAGCTTGAACCCAAACTATTTAGGGCTTTATATGTTAAAACCAGCACTTTGAATTATGTCCAGAGATGGATCAACAGCCAGTGGAGCTGCTGTAACAGAGAGGTTATCATAGAATCATAGAATGCTGAAGTTGGAAGGGGCCTATAAGGCCATCAAATACAACCTTCTGCTAGAGGCAGGAATACAAATCAAAGGATATCTGCCAGGTGGTTGTCTAAATTTCTCTTGAATGCCTCCAGTGTTGGAACAGATCACCTCTCAAGGTAATTGATTCTATTGCCGCACTGCTCTAACAATTAGGAAATTTTTCCCGATATTCAATCAAAATCTGTTATCTCTATAACTGGCCCGAGTTAACTATCTGGCTGCAGTGTTCTAGACTCACTGAAGTTTACAAGCACTTTCCAAAGGCAGCTCCATGTAAAGTATGTTATAGTACATAATGCAGCCAGGATGGAACTAAAGTGTGTGGCATTGAGGCTAGGTCAGATCTCTCCAGGAACAGGCACCACTGGCACACTAGTTTTAACTGTGCAATGACACTCCTGGTCACCAATGAAACCTGGGCATCCGGACTCAAATATGAATCCAGCAGCACACCCAAGCTGGTCACCAGTGTTTTCACAGGAGTGTAATTCCACATCCAACATAGGTTGAATCCCTATTCCTTGATCTACCCTTCAGTTGACCAGAAGTACCTCTGTATTATCTGGATTAAGTTTCAGTTTATTCATTCTTATCCAGTCCATTACTGACATTGGACACCGATCTAGAACTGAAATGGCTTCCTTGGCTTTTCATGGAAAGGAGAGAGTTGGACGTCATTTGCATACAGGTGAAAGCAAAACCCAAAACTCGACACAATTTCTCAAAGTGGTTTCATCTACACAGATGTCAAATAGCATAGAGAACAAAACAGAACCCCGAAGGGACATCACAGGCCAAGCAGACAGGAGTCAAACAGGAATCCACTAGCACCACCTTCTGGATTCTCCTCTCCATACACGACCAGAGCCACTATAAAACAATGCCTCCACGTCATCCCACAAACTGTCTTGCAACTCTGAGGAAGGCAACAATGGTGAATACATTATCAAGAAGTAATATTAGTATTCTGCTATTCAAATATGTATACAGTAAACAAGAATGGGCAACTTTTATCTGTATCAAAGAGAAGAGAATAACTTTGTTGTGGGAGATTTTGAGCATAGAAGGACTAAATAGAAAGTTAAATCTTTTCAAACCTGCTACTCCTCAGGTCCAAATCTCTCTCTCTCTCTCTCTCTCTCTCTCTCTCTAAGCTACTTCATCTCTCTATGTGTGGTTCCATTTGTTTTGAAAAACAAAAGTTGGCATGCTTCTATTGAATCCAGTTAATATTATCCAAGTAGAATATGCTGATGAACAGTAATTTCTGCTTTATGGATCATGACTGTCTAGAAGTGGAAAACTCTATGCATATACTGTGTATTCCTACATACTATCATATTGAACAAACAAAAAATTGGTGCATGTGTGTGTGTGTGTGTGCATGTTTATGATTTGCTTTAATTATGTTTAAAACAGGATAGTACATTTCTGGATTTCTTTTTCAGCTTTTAAAAATGGACATGTTGACTTTAATTCTCAGTGTCTCTATGTGAACAACTGGTCTGGAATTGTAAGATACATGCACATGCTTTCCATACCCAGTTGGTTACATGCTTGCCTTTATTACATCTTAAATGTGCACAAAAAAGAGAATGAACTGACTACACACTCAAAATCTGACATGGGCATTGCATGCATAAGATCTAATGGCACATGTATGTTAGAACCTGCATAATTCACCTTTGTACCCAAGCAAATGTATCACTTATGTGCTAAGATAGTATATATCCTAGACCATAATATTTAACAATTATGAAATCTGCTCAACTAAATCCCCTACTTGAATTAATTTAAAACTAATTAAGGATTATTTATTATGCTTTCTCCTCATCTTCATCTACACGATTCTCTTCAGTTCCTACCAACTTTTTCTACTTGTCTCATCAATATTTACCTGCTTTCTCAATCTGAAGCAAAGGAGAAACTGAACAATCAATCTTCTTCACTTGATCTAGCTGCACTGATACAACATTATCAATATATTTTTGTACAACCATTTGTTGCCCTTGGTTTTGTTTTAAAAAAATATGTATATATTTTGTGCATATTTGACAAGCACACTAAGGCATAGACTCATCCACCCAAAAGACCAGATACCAAAACACAACAGGAACAATAGTATATGCGGTCCAGTGCAAAGAGGATTGTTAGGAGCTCTACATTGGAGAAACCAAACAGCCACTAAACAGGAGAATGGCTCAGCACAGGAGGGGCAATGGCTCAGAACCACAATCAGCAATGTTCTTTCATTTGAACAACACTCATTTGATGTCCACGATGTACTCATTTTGGACCACAAAGATAGGTAGTTTGAGAGAGGGGTCAGGGAGGCCATGCATGTGCATATAGAAAATCCCTCAAGCAACAGGGGTGGAGGCTTTAGATACAATCTGTCTCCTATTTATCATGCTGCCCTTTCATCCATCCCCAGAAAGATTAGGACCACACTCACCAGAAAGACCACCATTAACGACTCATGACAATGGGTGGAGAAGGACTTCAGAAGTGGGATTATCCCTCGCCTCCAGTCCTTTGTCCTTCTAACGGGCCTATTCAGACCAAAGGGAATTGAAAGCAATGTGGAAGGTATATCAGGGATCTCCTACCAACTCTCCTCAGACTGAAGCTACTTAGATGAGTAGCGAAACATTTCACCCTAACTGGGGATGGATGAAAGGGCAGCATGATAAATAGGAGACAACTTCAGGCTGCAAAACAATACCAGGTTTCTTTTAGAGTAGATATATTAGTAGACGTATCAGATATATCATGTAACAGTTTTACAGCAATCATTTTTTTTTTTTACTTTAATAAGATTTTCAATTACTACTTCAGGGACTTAATACAAATTTCAGACATAATAGTTTGGATTTTGAAAAAAGCTATTCACACAGTCATATTTGTAAATATACTAAAGGCAGAAAATAAGGAGCAGATAAATAAAATATACATACAGGAACACTTCAGTTCTCTCTTATTTTGTGTTTCTTTAACAATAGCATCTGTCCTAATGTTCTCGGCTAACAAACAATAGTTAATTTTTGGCAAAAACTAATTCTA